GGCTGATAGTGGAAACCACTAATTCCACGTTTGCAGTGTTTATTAGAGCAATTTTTGCTGTTAGTAATATTTGGACACAAAAATTTGCCATCATAGTAACAAAAAGTACCAGTGTGTCACCATTATCACCTCAATAATATCGTAAATGTTCCACTGACTTCAATTTTGGAATAACTTGTTCAGGGAGATACACTTGAAACTGTTTTTTTACTTTTTGTAAATTAGAAACTGGGCCAGTAAATTTTTAGCCATGTTCAACCATTCCACCATTGAATAACTAATTCCTGACAAACCACATACTTCATTGTTCTTCAGAGTAGGCTAAATATATTTTTCAGATGCATTCTTTAAAATTGTTCATATCTTTCTGGCTTGATATTAGTTTATTACAATTAACAGTACAGATAACACATGCATAGTGATAAATTCTCCTTTTTCCATAGCTATATAACCTATGTAGTTGAAAAGTATCATTAAGTAAACCAAGAACTGATGAAGAAAGCTACTCAACAATAGGAATATTGTACTGTAAAGAGATAAATTACAAATTCTTTCATGTGGGTGGACAGCACTCTAATTTGAAGTATGAAGTTGTGTTTGACAAATTGTATAAATCTTGTTTGGTTTTATGGTCATTAAGGGTTATTGTGGATTGACTTTTACCAAAATACAATTGTCTTAATAGCTTTAATTATAGCCCCCCTGATAGCATTTCTTTGAAGTCTGTTGAGTAGTTTGCAGATGTACCATAGACATGACCTTCCCTTTATCCACACATTTTCTGCCATTCCTTTAGTCCTAATCAAGGATTCCCTTATAGGATGCAGTATTTATTAAATTATGATTTCAGTAAGTTGACATGAATTAACATGATCATTGATCATATGTTGCAATAACAGGAACTGAACATGAAGACAAAGAAAGTGAAGAGAGACGAGATGTTCTAGTGCCACAGTTTGAAATTGTGATAGAAGCTGAAGATTGCTTACAAGAAGAAGAGGTGTCCAATGATTTGAAAACAGAAGAAGAAAAGTTAAAAGCATTTGAGAAAATGGTTCAAGAAGGCAAGGCAGGAACATTACAAGGTTTGTTTAAAATGTATCAGCATGTTGCATTCAGGATAGTGTATTGGCTGTGCATATTGAACCATTCAGTTGTTACGTTGTCCCTCTGCCTATGCATTTTATCATGAAGCATGTGTATGTTGCATATGCAAAGCTTTACACATGGCTAATTTACCCCTGAACTGGTAGGTGTGGTAGTCCCAAGAAACTATGTGTCTGCCAGGAATCTGACCAAAATAATCCAACTCGTTCCACAGTCACTTTGCACATTGCTAATTATGGAAGTAAAATTTAATACAATTGATGGTCATAACTTACAAGGGCATGTAACACAGATTACTAGTTCAGTGCCTGTATGCATTTTTACCATACACTTCATGATAAAGCTTTTAGTACCTTATCACTTTTAGATTGTTAGTGCAAGTTAAAAATGCCTCTCTCCTTACCTCCATCATAGATTTGATGCAAGAGAGACATTTTGGATTTTGTAACTTCAGGACTTATGCCAAACAAGACATCAGTTTGGACAGAAGTATATTACTGAGTCTATGACTTAACTTACAAAATAGATAGTCACAATTGGCTAAAAGAGTGGAATTAACAAGAGGATTGATGAAATTGCTAAGGACCTACATAGTTTACCAAATATTCCATCCATCCAATGGCTCTACAGCCATATCGGGCCTTGGCCTCCTCCAAATATTAGGATTCTCAAATCAGAGAGGATTTCATGAGACAAGTTGCACTAAAGCACACAAACAGAAAACCTGAAGGAAACATATTTTTTGAGGTCTAGCATGGATGGGAGGATAATATTAAAATGGATCTTACATGGTGAAGATGTGTTACATAAAAGGCAAGGAGTTTGACAAGCTCTGTGACTCACTGTTCAAAGGACTAACCAGAATGAGTAAATCAGTATGTTGATGATGTGTTATACATTTACAGTTGATAAAGACATTGTGAGACTTTTATTAGTACTCTTGCATTATTTATCTTCCAACATAAGATTGGGGTATTAAATATTTTCGTAGGTGATACTTCATTTGATGAACTGCAGAAGACAACATCACCTGAAGACAGACAGTTTTCAAAGTTCAATTCAAGAATAAGAAGAAATCCTGATCAAGTGTTGCGATATGACAGAGGTGGGACGCCTCTGTGGATATCTTCAGACCACACCCCAAATGAGGATGACATTCCTTGTTGCGAGTACTGTGGACAACATCGTCGGTTTGAATTTCAGGTCAGTTGCAAGTCATTGCATACGTTTTTGTAGTGAAGTCAATTACGAGGGTCGCTCATTAAATAATGCCCCACATTTTTTTCCTCAGAACATATTTATTCAAGATGGCTCAAATTTAGTGACAATATAAATCAATGTTTCCTTTACACATACTATTTTTCCACATAGTCCCCATCAACTTGTACGGTTTTACGCCAGCGTGGAACAAGTGCATGCATGCCTTGCCGGTACCAGCTCTTGTCCTGTCCCCGTAGCCATGTCCTCACTGCTTGAATCACGCTCTCGTCATCTTCAAATCTTGTTCCGCGGATAGCATCTTTAAGGGGCCCAAAGAGA